TGTTGCTAAAGTTTCGTCGGAACGAATTTACGGAAAATTACCTAACGACTGGAGGCGTAACAATATTATATTAAATGCGATGTACATACCATTACATGAATACAATTTTTCAGGGAAGCTTTGAACCTTAAATCCTTAAAATATTACTTTACGTTCTTTGTTCATATTATGTTATAATCTGAGGCTCAGTCTTATCCTAAATATCAATAAGTTTATATTTCACCTCTATGTTTTTACAGGGACCAGGTTTACAATGGTACGACACCACCCACGCCCTTGTAACACTGTAAAGGGTGTCTTAAAACTTGTTTATTTCACGTAGACAGGCAGGTAAAACCTTGAACTTGTTTCCATGTGTATGTGTAATAAAACTTTAGATTGAAACCTTAAAAACTTGTTTCATCTGGTACTTCAAGGACTGCAAAATTCTATTGCGACCCATGCGTGAAATACAAGGTGACGTTGATCTACATTACACTTACACCTTGTAACAGTCCTGTCACCACAAGGCGTTTCTTTCCATCTCGTTGCTAACGATTTGTAGTCTTACATAGTTAACAGTTCTTGTAACACTATCTAATCTAATTATTTTATCTTTCTTATAAGGTATTAATTAGAACCTATCTGTCCTTTTACATTTAAATACGATTAAAACCAATATATAGATATACATATATTCTTCATTAGTGTAGACATACAGATTACTTAAGAAAAGAAACTTTTTACAACTCACTGTAAGACATTTAATACATATGATTTTATTGTATAATTTTTAAAATTAATCATTTCTTTCATATTTTATTTCGAAAAGAACTTTAAAAGATATTCCTCAGATTTTGTGTGGATATTTGTTTCATTGAACCCTTGCTAGTAATTCTGTGTATCAAAAGACATTTACAAAACAGAGTGGCGCTGAACATTAAATACAATAAAAATAACTTTCATATAGTGTTTAGGATGTCGCCCGTTCCTTCCGAGTAAAAAAGAAAAGTTCTAGGTTGGTTATCCAGAGTTATGTTTGCAGCATTTATATGTAAAAATTATTATATATATCGTATATTTGCTTAAACATGAAGCTGCTAAAACGAATATTTGCACTATGCCCAACGCAAGGATCTAAACCAGAATTGTATCGTTATATGCTCTCAAGATTATCTAGAAAAGGCAATAAAATGTGATACAAACAAGCAACGTGAGGTAAAACCAATTGACTACCATTTGTGCAACATAACAGTATCTTCATAACATAAAGTCACTGTACTTTCTTTAAAAACAACAACAAAATAAACATTTAAAGGTTTTACAAAATGCTTGACTTTGAGCATCCACACTTCCAAGTGACTGTTATTTTCATTTGGTCACTAAGTTTCAATTTTATCACGTAATCCACTTAACACTGCAGTAACCAACTGTAAAATGTTTATAAACTATAGCCAACAAAGTATAATATACATCATAGGTAGCTTTTGGTGGATTTTCTACGATTAAAAAGTAGAAACAAGCTTGCCTATTTAAGTCTATCGTAACGTTCTATTTTATTACTTTCAGTCTTCAAAACCTGTTTAGATTTTTACTTCTTATTACAAGGATAAGCACGCTTTATTTTTTCCATTTGAAATCTGTAAGACTCCACTAAGTATAAGAACACAGACTTTAAATCTGGGTCAAGGAGTTGTTTCACCCAAATAACTTATTGAAATTAATCTTACGTTACTAAAAACATGTTATTTAGTCTGACTGGGAGTTCAAGTGGCAAAAAAGTTATGGTATTATTATGTTTAAAAGCACATTACATGCATAATTTATTTATGCAACTATTGGAAGAGCAATATTTAAGTTAAAGAAGGAAAATTATTTTTAAGGTCGAAGAATAACCTGTGAGCTCAATATCCAGGAACTATGATGAAACTTTCGCAATTTTGTGCTTAATAAATAGCCACAGCTGATACCTTTTTTAGAGTTTTTATTTCAGGTAATCTTGTATTATACGCGCGTTTGCTGTTGAAAGACTTGTGCTTAACGTTTCGCAATTTTAGCTGAATTAGTCACATATTTAGTGGGTTTGCGTATTTCAAATTTAAACACTAAAATCCACACACAGAATAACTTGGCTATTATTTTCTATAGTATCTTTTTGTATACTTAAATCATTTACATTTCACGCACATCGCTATTTCCTAGTGATCAGAAATAATACATACATATACACAAATGAATGCTCTATGTATTGTTTAATCTTATACTTTCTTATGTGTACGAAGTACTATTTCTAGTTTTAATGTTTTATACACTGTTATTTAGACCATCTAAAACTTTCATTTGCTAAGACTAAATAAAAATTAGGATACTTTATATGAGGTGGAACCAGGTGCTAACTCAATACTGAGTCTCTTGAGTAAACCATTTTTGAACACAAAATTTTCATAAAATAACATTATATTAATATTGGTTTAAATGTTTATAATGTGATAAAACATAATGATATATTATTAACATACAATATTTATAAATCGTTTATGTAAGTAAATCATAACTCTAAATCACTATCTCAAAACAAAAACAAATGTTAACAACAAAGCTTCATTATTTAAAATCTTATAATGAAGTAACATATATATATGTATTAACATACCTTTGAACACATTTCGTTGACAAATACACATTGATAACTGATTGAAAAAATATATCGAACTAACAGACGAACTATTTTTCATTGAACATGTATTTAAAAACATTCGCTGCATGTTGTATCTACAAGTTATGCTTGTGTGAAAATTTTTCTACGCGCCTTATCCTTGGGCTCAAGCTTTAACTTCGCACACCTGCCTTGTCTATGTCTGTCAAGAGGAGCAATATCGCGTTGTTTTTTGTTTTTTTTTCAGGTGACATTATTTTCCGCTAGGAGGGATATTACGCTAAATATGTCAACGCGTGTTGTTTTCTCTTTAAGGATATTTTGGTTTTGTCGCCAATCAAACTCAAAGTTAAACCACCCTAAATTTTTATACAGTTGTTTGTCAGAATTTACTGTATGCCGGAAATTAGGAAATACAACGATTAATAAGAAGCGACAAACACCAGCAGAGTACTGCGCAGAAACTTTACGGTAAGCCTTATCCAAACTAAACCGTTAACATTAAAATAAAAAGTAATAAAACATGCTGAACTCGGACTATTTAATTTTCACTTTCAGACACATTCAAAACAAATTTATTATATTTAGGCAAAAAAGATCTAACTCCCGGAAAATTGTTAAAGCATTAGATTTTGAAACAGGAAACATTAAAAGCAGACAGTGGGAAAATGAATTATTTCTAATTATAACAAAATCTGACACCTTTCCTTATTCTTACTCTAAGTAAAAGTTATAACACTGGGCAACAACAACAACAAAAATTCTCAACTACTAGAAGAAATGCAACTGTTTCTGAGTAATTTCACGTTGCTGATTCTAAAAGTCATGTTGAAAATTATTAATCACTCTAGTTTTCGAGTTATGATAGATTTATTCAAAATATTCTTCTAGATCGTGAAAATAACTTTTGCTTTAATAACTATGTATTCATTTACAAATGTATAATCTGCATGCTTTGAAAAGTTTCTTTCATGTTCACAGCAAGAACAACAAGAATCGATGGCTTAGTGTTCCCATTGCACAAAACTACAGTTTTGAGACAGAAAATCTCCATTCTTGAGGATAATGTTCAATACCTAATTCTAACATTAGTGCATCAACATTTATACAGAAACAGAAAGTATGTTGTAGTGAGAAGCAAGACTTTGATGGCAATTTGGGTGAACTGAAACTCTTATTCCCAGAGCTAATAAATTCCATTGCTGTAAACGAGAGCCAAGAAGTTCCCCATACTGCTTTGATAGAAACAAGTCACAAATCAGATCATTTAGCTCTTGTGTGATCACTATCTGTATGATCAGATCGGGCAGTTTATGTTGAGGTGCTACATGAATAGAATTACTATAGGAAGATGAGGAAGGTGATTTATTGTCTTCTTTGCAGGATAACTCTTCTGTGCCCCAATTTGCTGGTGGATGTGGCACTGGAAGACTAATCCCATGAGGTACTAGTTTCATTGCACATGCAATATCTGGATATTTAGTGTATTGTTTAATTTTGCTTGAATATACAGAAACATTAATCATCCACAGATAATAGTCAGTTAAATGATCTATGGATTCGCACTATATCATGGAAACTGCAAAGGGCATACTTGCTCTTCTTATTCAGCCACTGTGTCAAGCCAAATGTGCAAACTGTACAACACACATGTGGAGTCCAATGTTTTTCTTGGTTCCCAATTTTACACCCAAAATAGTGGTAGTAATCTACCTTTACCTTGTGTTTGATGTTTTTCTTTTACAAAACTGTAATATGTTTTCCACAAATATAGCAGAAACTCTTTGGCTGATTTTTGTACTTTCAGACTTTATTTGAACTGGAGGCAGCTAGCATTTCAGTGATTTTCTAAAAACTTTAAAAGACTTTGTCTACAAAACGAGAGTTTAAAAGATTTTAAAAAACAAAGTTTTTCAGAATTTTATTATATCACAGGTATGATGTGAGGGAGAAGATCAGATTTTGTTTTGACTGTGTGCAAAGCAAGGCATAGTGACCAAGTGAGTGTGAGAGAGAGAGGCATATGACTCCGCCCCTTTTACACCCATTCGAGGGACTTCTTGAATGTTTTGTCAAACAGAGCACATGAGAGTTCCATGATTCCCGGGTGGAGCACGTGAGTGTGGGAATGAAGTAAAAGTGTTGCAATCTGCTACAATTATATCGAGAACAAATAGCATATATGAACAATATATTTGGAATTTTACACCAATACAATACAGTCAGTGTTTGAAGTTATGAAAAATGTTTGCTTTTTACACATTAAACTGTCCAAATAAACTTAATTTCACAGCATAAATCTATTGTACTGAGTTGATTGCATGGTATTTCACATAATGCTGATAAGATATTGGGATCTTAAAATAACTCAAAATTTAGGGGTCAGGGTCAAATTTTGGCTACATTTTTGAAATCAGTACCATCAAGTTACCACAAATCACCTAAGTTTTCTCCATTATTAAATTTTTTGTTGTTCAGTATAATTTAACAAATATAATATTATAAAGAATGACAAAATAAACATTTGGTTTCAAACAATTAAGAATGTAATAAACATTATATTGAAAAATTTAAGTATTATTATGCACATAATTTGCTGATTCTGTTAAGGAGTGTACCATATTTTACACAGGTTCAGCATAATAGAAAAAATGGTAACTTTCAAAAAGTTATATCGAGACATAGGTACTTGATGGTCTAATTTGTTTTTGATTTAAAACAGCTGCTTGTAAAGAAGTCAAAATATGTGGGATAATTTTAGTTAGGTTACATATTTCTCTTATTTGATGTATAGAGAAACTAGAGTTATGTAAAATTGTTCTTTAGTGTATATGATATACAGACAACAAGGGGCAGTTTAGTCCTTAATATAATAATATACAAGAACAAGGGGGATGTTCTCCATCAAGGATGTCCAACCACTTAAAAATAAAAATTCAAGTCCAGACCTGATCATTTAATTATTTTTCAAGTGTTGCTTTAAATTTACTGCATCCACCACATTGAAGGCAAACCATTTCGAAGGCTGTGCTGAAGATGACTCCTACCCTGCCAAAATTTATATATGTGCCCCCTTGTCCTATTATTTTCTCCATTAAATGTAAAAAAAAAATGATCCAGTGAAGCTATCAGTTCCCTTAATCATCTTCAACACCTCAGTCAGATCCCTCTAACTATCCTGTTTTCAGAAGAAAACTGTGTCAGAGATTTCAACTTCTTCATCCCAGATATCATCCTAGTTAACCTCCTTTGAAACATTTTTTTTTTAAGGTTTGGAGCCCAAAACTGAACTCAGTACTCCAAATGAGGCCTAAAAAGTGACCAATAATATGAAATAACCCATTTAGATTTGTAATCCACATTTTTGTAAATACTACCCAAAACTCCGTTTTACCCTACTACTAGGAACTGTACACTGCTTTGATGGCTTCAGAATATAAGACTGATCAACCACATGCATTACCCTGCATTTATTATAATTCAAAGTGTAACAAATTTGTTATTATATATTTATTTTAATATCAACGTTTGTTTAGATTAAATTTACATTTAGGAACATACATAGCTTATGCTGTTAAATATGTATTGCAAAACTCCTGCCTATTCTCCAAAGTTGTAGACGATTCTCGAGAGTAAGAATCAACAATATATGTATGTACGTAAGTGCTTAAATTTGTATTGTTACATAATCTGAATTTTCTAGAAAGCCTCCACATGCCTATAAATATAACCAATATGACTCACCAAAAAAGAACATCTATTAGTATTATACGTTTGCTATAGTCAGTGTGCTATGAACTTCGGAAGCTAAAACTGTGATTGTTATAACACTTATCAATTGGAAAACTTCAGATATTTTAACAGGGGCATTTACAAATTTCGAAAATTACAAACCATTTAACTTCAGTGGATTCACATCGGACATTAATACTTTTACAAAAATATTTCCTAATGTCATCGGTGGAAACTCAGTCTCTAATAGGTGTATGAACAGTGATGACTACAGGGCTAGCTAGCTCCCTGTTAAGTGAATTGTGCTTACGTCAACCCGAAATTAACTCGCTCATCGTGAACCCTCAATAAGATATTAAGGAAGTTCCAGACTAGAAAGGAGATTTTATATTGCTTGTAAGTTTGTGAAACTTTTGTTTATAAATCATTGTTTATAATAACTATTATTATAAATTGTATTGTGTGTATATTAAAACGTATTTGTGTTAAAAAAAAAAAGAAAACTGTGTGTATCAGTCTTGTTGGCAAATATCATAAACTGACTATATATTGCCATATATTTAAATACTAAATCCAAAGTACAATTTAACTACTAAACTTAAATTACCAGTTAACTTGGTTTCACACCATTTGAAATTCTATTACATAACAAAAGCCATATGCCAGTTATTCATGCAATTTGCCAAATTATCCTATTCATTTTGTGAAGCAGCAGCAGCATCCTCACAGCCAGTAACACCTAAAACCTTAATACTATCAGCAAATTTAAGTAATTCATTGACTGTTTCTTTATCTGTGTCAGAAAGAACACTGGTTCTCAGTGACATATTAAAGTTTTTCCCACCCCTAGGGCCATTAGAAAGTGCTGCTCCCTTGCTATGTGGACTAGATATAGTCTCAACCAAGAGGTGTAAAATAGTTTATAGATATTAATCTCAACACTAAAATACATGTCAGAGAAGATATAAGCACAAATAAAATGCTGAGATTGGAATAAAAAAATGAACATGTTTTAATCTAGAAAGAAGAGAGTTTAGCTTATTTGGAAAATATTTGTTTTGGTTCTATGTTTACTATAGTAGAGGGGCTGACACAAATCTTATTTTTTACAACTGCTTATTAGTGTTGTGTTTGCTACAAATTTTTACTCACTTCAGCAGTTAAAACAAAATGATGCTACTGGAATTTTGCCACCTTGTAAAATTTGCTGCCCCATGTCTGGACCTAGTTGGTATGTGCATAAATACATCACAGCTGGTTTCAACACTGAATCCTGATGCATCACTTGTAGCTTTTATCCAGTTTGACTGAACTCCATTTATAATGACCTCTGTTTTGTTCCTTCCAGTCATGCATTTTTTTTTATCTCTTATCTTTGACACCTATAAGAGATTATTTTTTAACAAACCTTTTATGTGACACTTTGTCACATGCTGTATGAGATCAAGGTATATCAAAATCCACACATGTATCCTCATCTACATAAGCAGTAGCCTCTTCAAAGAATGTCAAAATATTAATAAGGCAAGCAAAATTTTAAACCCATCCTTTATTTAACAAGAAATCTTCAATTTCCATCTTACATTCCTGTTAAGAATTGGCCCCCACTACAGCTGACAGCTACCCATTCCATTAGTCGGTCATTTTGTTGTAAAAATAAAACTGTCTTAATTAACTGGAGACTAGCCTGTCTCTTCCAAATCTTAAACTTGTGTATTTACATAATTATCTTCAGAATATAACATAATGAAATCATAGGCCTTTATCTTATCAGTACCTATAATAACCTTTTAAACTTTAATAAGATCACCTGTTACCTTTCTTTTCTGAAGAGAGAATAAGAGACCTTAACCTATTCATATAAGATAACCCTTCAAGCATCCTAGTACCCCTCTTTCAAATTATTTCCGAAAAGCCAGTATCCTTTCTTAGGTAAGAAAATCAGAACTGTACACAGTAATCCAACTTACATATTAATCCAGGTCATTCTGTTGTACCTCATCATTAATGTAAGAGTCAATCGATGTAATTCTCAATGCGTTTTCTTTTTTTTTGTAATAATATTTGTAGTACAGGATAATGGAAATTACAGGTCCATTAGGCTAACTTATCTTGTTAGCAAGATATTTGAGTCTAAAGTCAAAAATACAGGTGTCCAAGTATTTTTGAAACAAGTTGTTTCTTGTACATGCAAGTATAATGGTTAAAGTTTCTTTACAGCATATAATCACCATAGTTCAACATGTTGAGTTACATGCAGAATGTTCAGTCTGTATCCAGTGTCTTTCCAAGTGTTTTGGAAGATTGCAGGAATAACCTTTGTGGAGGCTTCTTGGATATGATAATGTAATTTATCCTTACTGTCAACTTTATTAGCATAAATTTTGTTCTTTATAAAGACCCCATAAAGCAATCCATAGAGCGTGGGTGTCAGCTGAATAGGCTTTCCCATTAAATCCACTGACTTTCTCCTTCGTAATCACCATTTTGCTTCAGACTGGAATCGTGAACTTCTCAGAATCCAATACTTTCAATTAGTGCTGTAAAATAAAAAACTTTTAACATTATTCTTGCATATGCAACAAATTATGTGACTATAATGGTTTTTCTATTACGAATTTTCAAAGCTTTTCCAAAATTGTTGAACTTCCTATAAAATAAGCATCAGAAAAACTGACATGAACAAGTTATTTTTCAGTCCAAGTTGGATAT